GGCAGGCAGACTCTCAACCACTGGGCCACCAGGGAAGCCCTGCTTGCTTATTTTTAATATCACAAAACATTCTTTCTTCAAGTCCATATAGGAAGCTGATTTGCCCCATTCCTGTAAAGACCTGAAGCATATTATCTCAATAACTCTTGAAAAGGTAGACCTTCTTTGGTGATTGTAAAAGGAACCTTTTCTTCCATAAGAAAACTATTTTTCCCCTTTTCTAGCTTCCTTCACTTTTTCTCAGTTTTCCATTAGTGGCTGAAGTACTTTGAAACTCATAAAAATTGCCCGCCAGGGAAGTACTTCTCCAAATCTATATGATAGACAGGGTCCCTTACATCTTCAGTCTACCCTATTCTGTGCATAATCAGGAGATTTCTTTTCCCTAACAGCTTTTTAAACTTCTAATATCTGGTAGTTGGTTATTTACTACAAATAAGCATGTTAAGTCTTTAACTGGAAATAAAAGAGATTCAAAGATAGCCTTTTATGTTTTACTTTTGTTTACTTCTATATTTGATTTTCAGAATTCATATTATAAAGTAGGTATTTATGAAAGTTGGTATAATGGTATGACATCTTTGATGAGATAATCTCAGAAACAGTTTATTTTGTAGTTAAGTTTATACTCAGGGTTATGTTTATCATGGCCTTAATTGGGAAACTTGTCAGAGTTTTTAGATGATTTTAGTACAGTGGTTCTCAAACTTTAATTTGCGTAAGAATCACCTTAAGAGCTTGTTAAAACAAATGTACGTTTCTAACATGCTCTTAGGTGACACCAAACCAAGGCTGCTGGTCTGAAGATTCCAATTTGAGAACCACTTTTTTAGGCTTTTTTATAGTCACTAGATAAGCCACAGAACAAAAGGTTACACGTACATTCTCACACATACACGTACGTGCACACACACATGATTAAAGGGGAATTTTGAAGGATCGAAATAGTTATTTCAGGTCTATCAGATTTTGCATTTATTAACAGCGTTACGAGAAGCTTGGATGGCACATGCCAAGGACATTCCTACATGTGAGTCTTTGCACCTTTTGCTTTCTCAGCCTATAATACTTGTCTGCTAGAAACGTACATGGCTCATTTCTCACTTTTTCAGGTCTTTGCATATATAAAATGACTATCCCCATTTTGCTTCCCTGCTTTATTGCTGCCCATAGCACTGAATCACCATATCATGTGTTACATGTTATACTTATTTGTCTCCCTAACTTAGAATCTAAGCTCCAAGAGGGCAGGAACCTGTTCCCTGCTTTTTATCCCTAGTTTTCTTGCCTGACATGTAGTATGTGATCAATAAGTATAGATTAAATGAAGAAAAGCAATGTTTGCCTTTTACCTCTGTGAGCTAGATAAGATTTTAAAATATTCATCAGGGTAAGCCTCTTTCCTGGTCTGTTTATGTACTGTGTTACAGAGATAAAAGTTGGATGTAACTTTTGGATAGTGAGTGCTTCCCCAAGTGTGGTATATGTGTTCCATTGTTGCTAAAGAAGATGAATCTAACTGATACGTGGACTGACTTTTTATTTTTCATGTTAATTAGAAAACAAATTTAACAAGTACACTAAGGACCCAACAGGAAACAGTTCTACAGATGGTTCAGCTGAAATATCTTTAAGAAAGAGTCTACTCAAAGATATGGTGGTGATTAAAGGAATACATGCAGGATAGCAGGATACCCAGAGACTAGCAACAGTGGGAAGCTGCTACCATCCCTAGGACTGGATGGATAAAGGGAAGAATCTGTGCAACTGGATTGGAGGAAGGGCTACCTGGCTGGAGGTGTAGTTTTGGAGAAGGGGCGCTTGAGCAGAGGGAGCACAGGAAGAAAGACTTCTCTTTCCTCCCATACTCTAATATCTGATATCCTCCAGAATCTCTCATGAGCCAATCCAGAAGCCAGTTCGTTGAGACAGCCAGTCAGGAATGGTGTCAGGGCAGTGCAAGTGAAGACCAGTACAGCATCAAATTTGTGATTTGGAAGATTTTATTGTATAGGAAAAACTGTTTATTAAGAGAAATAAAATAAATAGATAGAAAGAAAACCATTAAATAACAGTACAGGTAAAAATCATGGCTACAGTTTGGGAAACACTGGGGAAATAGTTGTTAATCCACGTTGTATTCAGCACAGTCCACTATAAGATTTGTTTTTCTGATTCATTAAATAGCATTTTAGTATTATGATATATTTTAATTATTGTCTGACTAGTGCTCCACATGTATGTTTTCCAGATAACTGAATATTAAGATTTAAGTATACATAATTTTATTCACCTCTTGTAGAGGGATTTCTTCCCTGAAATGTATTGTGATTTCCTGAAATGTATCTAATTTCCTAATCTCTTTAATGAGATTGGTGGTTCTCAAACTATAGCATACATCAGATTCACTTGGGAAGGTTTGTGAAAACAGGTGAGCCCTATCTCCTGAATTTAGTAGGGCTGGGGTTGGGCCTTAGGTAATGCAGATATAAATGGTGAAGGGACTACATCTTGGGAACCACTAGTACTAGGGTATACTGAGCTTAATTTAACTTTTCTTGATGACTTAGGGTCATTTACCCTATAGAGCCATATTGAAGTAAGGGGATATTTCTTTTTAATAATGGTTCCAGGTCAATTTTAGCATCTGTATTTAATTTTGTCAGGTGCATCATGCTGTCATTCATTGTGCCATTAGTAATTCCTCTCTCACTGTAATTTTTTTAGAAATTTATTTATTTTATTTATTTATTTTTGGCTGCATTGGGTCTTCGTTGCTGCATGCGGGCTTTCTCTAGTTGAGGCAAGCGGGGGCTACCCTTCGCCGTGGTGCGGGGACTTCTCATTGTGGTGGCTTCTCTTGTTGCGGAGCACAGGCTCCAGGTGCACGGGCTTCAGTAGTTGTGGCCCATGGGCTCAGTACTTGTGGTGCACGGGCCTAGTTGCTCTGCGGCATGTGGGATCTTTCTGGACCAGGGCTCGAACCCGTGTCCCCTGCATTGGCAGGCGGATTCTTACCCGCTGCACCACCAGGGAAGCCCTCTCACTGTAATTTTGTACTAAGCTGCTCTGGGCTGAGACTAAATAAATTGGTTACATTTTAGTTTAGAAAAGAGAAGGTCTCCAAGCAAAATACGTGAGTTTCAACGAAGGAGCTTTTTTTTTTTTAATCCATTTTGACTGGTCAATTTTTACTGATTATTCTCCACAATACCTAATGCTGCCACATAAGTGACCTTTGGTTAAGTACGGTGCTAATTTTAAGTTGTTCTCTATTTGCCTCCTTCAGTGACTAGAGATCACAGGAATCTCTGATACTTTTAGTAGCTAAACCCCTTAGAGGAAGTCTACAAAAGATTTATTTTACACTAAGTTCTTGTTGTAGTGCCTTAACATCGCTTTGTATCAAGTGTGTTTTTTTTTTTTTCTTATTTAAACTGTGTTATGTATTGAAAGCACTTTCAAGTCTTTTGGAATATGGGGAGGGGGTAAATAAATATTTAAATATAAATAATTAGCAAAATAATAAACATGAATGTTTTTATAAATGTTAAATCTTGGAGTAGGTATAGAATCTTTCTTTCCAAAGAAACTAATACTGTGTAACATTGGCATAGAAAAGGGGAACAGTGAATTTGTGTTTTTCAGTAGTGAGTATTCTAGGGCTGCTGGCTTCATGTGTTGTTAGAGATCTTACACAATGTAGATCTGTTCAAAGTTTCTGTTTGGAGGAAAAGTAATTACTTTTTTCCCAGTTGTTACCTACAGCTTCTCAGATAATCAGGAAAATACTATTCAAGTGCTTATATCAGAGGTGTCTTCCATCTTTCCTATTGACAGAATTTTTCAAGGCCTCTTTGTCTTGGGTTTGCTTTCAAGGTTTATGTGTTCTGCCTTAACTTTACTGTTTTTTTTTTGTACCTGCTGATTCATTCTTTCCCTTCCGTGACTTTCTCTCTGAAATCCTATTCTGTGAAGGGAATTGTTGTCTAAAACTGATTACCTCACCCCAGCTTGTTTCTGCTAATTTTTTTTCTCATTAGTAATAAAATTATCAGTGTATGTTTCTGTTAATATTTAGTAAATTGTGAAGTGCTTTCACATTACTTCATTTGATCTTCATTATAATTTCTATCAGGTTAGAGTAGGAGAGAGTGTTATTCTTATTTACCTAGAGTAAATCGCAGTACAGCCTGCCAACCCCGAAGTCAATGCTTTTACTCTATCCTGGATATACCACAGCAGTTGTGTTTGTACCTGGGCAAGTTACTTAACTTCATTGTCTCTCTTCATCTGTAAAGTGGCACGGTTAAAACCAATTTCATAAAGTTATTGTGAGGATTAAATTGCTGACAACAGTGTCTGTTCTATGATGAATGTTAATAATGCTGGTAGTTGTTATACCACATCTTTTTCTCCCTTTAAAAGTTACTGTAATAAAATTCTTGGTTTTCAGGCAACATTTGATATAACAAAATTTTACCATCAAAAAAAAATCTTAGATTATTTCTTGAGTTTATTATGTTGGATTAGTTGTCTTATTGCCTTTTAAAAAAATTCTCATTTTTATTTGTCTAAATTTTTCTTAAAGAATGTGCAATAAAATATTTGAGGAAGTTGTTGAAGGTTTTTATTGCTTCTTTTAATATGCTGGGATCAAGATGGATGCCTTTTGTCTGGGATTATAACATTTTAGTGCATATCTTATTACTAAATCTAAAATTTATATTGCTTAGTTGAAGACCTGTGAGTTTTTTAAAGATTAGAATAGTATGGCCATTTGGGACAGTTATTGGCTCATGGACATATGCATATGAAAGAAAGAAAAAAGTAGGAATTTTATAAAGTATAGAATTTGTAAAATACATTACATCAACATTAACTCACATAACTGAATTTTAGGAAACTTTGTTGGAAACAGTTGTGTTGGCTTTCTATAAATAGGTACTTATTTAAAAGATAAATTTCTAAAACTGCCTTACATATTTTCCCCCCAACAGGGCATTCTCAGCAGGGTTACAGAATCTGTTAAGAATATTGTGCCAGGATGGTTACAGAGATACTTCCACAAGAGTGAAGACGTATGTAGCTGCTCAACAGACACAAGAGAGGTGGCACAGTGGCCGGAAAATAGGGAAGATGACCATATAATATATGCTGATGAGGAGAACCCTAACATTCATGATGGGAGAAGCACTCCTGAGCCAACAGTCAGTAATACAGAAGGTAAATGGAATGTGGATATTTTGTTGTGAATGATAGGTTTTCATGCCTTAATTTAAAATATGTTTATGTTACCTGGCTATGGTAAATCTAATTGTGTAGTACAGAAACGATGTTGGAGGAGGGTGATGATCACCTTCAAATTAGAAATCTTTTTTATTTATCAGCTTTTTTGTTTATTAAGGGAGGCTGAAATGTATCAGTTGAGAGTGCAAGCTCTGCTGTTAGACTTTGGGTTTGAATTTTCATACCACCAATTGTTAGTCATGTGGCTTTGGTCAAGATAATCTTTGTTCTCCTCTGTACCCTCAGAAGTGGTTTTGAAAAAAGTAAAGTTGAAGCCCTTTGAGTAGGTCGTGGCACTAAAGGAGCAGCGTGGCAGTGCTTCCCACAGCACACGGACTTGGGTATGGTGTCACTGCAGTTGTCTTCCGTCCTCTGCAGCTAGTGCAGCTGGGCCACTTCATTAATCTTACCACTGAGTGACCCTGCATTTTAAATGCTTTTTTGGATCCGTTTGTGGCGTTTTTGTGGGGTTTACAAGTATTAAATAGCTTCATTGTAACCCATGAATGTGACATATTTGGGAATATTACTCTATCATTTTTCACTTTATATATTTTTTACAGCTTTAGTGAGATGTACTTCACATAACAATAGGACTCACCCATTTAAATTGTATAGTTTAGTGGTTTTTGGTATATACAGAGTTGTTCAGTCACCACAGTCAATTTTAGAACATTTTAATCACCATCCTTCCCTCCCCATCACCGCAAAATCCTATACCCATTAGTAGTCCCTCCCCATCCCTACCCCTCCAGCCCTAGGCAACCACCAATCTGTATACTGGACATTTCATATAAATGGAATCATAAAATATGTGGTCTTTTGTAACTGGCTTCTTTCACTTAGCATAATGTCTTCAGGGTTCATCCATGTCATAGCATGTATCAGAACTTCCTTTTTATTGCCAGGTAAATAGCTCATGGAATGGAGAAACTACATTTTATTTATCCATTCATCCGTTGATGGACATTTGTGTTGTTTCTACTTTTTGGGTATTATGAACAGTGCCAGTTTGAGTATTACTATGCACGTTTTTGTGTGGATATGTTTTCTCTTGGGTATATACCTAGGAGGAGAATTGCTGGGTCATCTGGTAATTTTAAATTTTGAGGAAAAACTGTTTTTCTAAAGTGGCTACACCATCTTACCTTCCCACCAGCGGTGTATGAAGAATGCAATTTCTTTACAACCTCACAAATACTAATTTTCCTTTTTTTAAAAAACATAAATTATACCTATTTTGGTAGACGTGAAGTGGTATCTCATTGTGTTGATTTGCATCTCCCTGATGACTAATAATGAGCATCTTTTCATGCTTATTGGCCATTTATACATCTTTGGAGAAATGGCTATGCAGATCCCCCTTTTCCATTTTTAACTGGGTTATTTGTCTTTTTATAGTTGAATTGAAAGAGGTCTTCACATATTCTGGATATAAGCCCTGTATATGATTTGCAAGTATTTTCTCCTATTCTGGCTTCTTGATGGTGTCCTTTGAAGCACAAAATTTTAAATTTTGATGAAGTCCACTTTATCCCTCAAGTATATGTTTCTTTCAGTTTATATATTTTTTCTTTCACTACATGTTTTGACTTACTTATAATTATAAAAATGTTTTTGCACTCTGAAATCTTGTCTTGCCTAAATAATTGATGTGGATATGTGCCTATTAATTTTGGTATACTTAGTAACTTATTTTCCTGCCTGATTTGCTTATAAGGGAAAACTAGTGAGGGTGAAATGGGCTGAAAGAGTGATTCCTACTTGGGAGAAATGGCAAATCTAAGTTTTCTTAGTGATATTCAGTTTGGCTTAGTCTTCAAATCCTTGCTTATTTTTATTAGAGTAACTTAGGGAGTTTTAATATCTGTACTGTTCAAGATTTCTTTCTAATATATTACCAGCAACCATCTTGAGGTTTTATTTGGTAGATCTCTAAGGTGACTGCTTCTATATTGTTCTCTTTTCTGGACATCAAATGGGACCACAGCTTCTTTCTTTCTTTTGACTGGAGACTTTTAGTGTGCAGCAGCATATATCTACAGTGACTGAAACCTTCTTTTGCATCCTAATGAGTATGCTTGTGGGGATTAACTAGCTTGAAGAATTTGATTCAGGTGTGAGATTAATGGCGTTTCTCATTTTATATCTGTAAAGTTCTTTTCTGTTTGTATTTTCATTGAAATTATGGAATTAATTCAGTGGTCTGCCAAGGTTAATTCCAACTTGGATTTTATTCATTATATTATTAGGTTTGTAAGGTAGCTTTTCTGTTATGTGTATATTACACACACCTTTGTGAATAACTTCTAAATTTAAATTATTGTGGAAATTTTCAAACTACAAAAGTAAGGAGGATAGTACAATGAACCTCCATGTACCTTTTACCCAGCTTCAAAGACAACGAGCTTATGGCTGACTTTGTTTTCTTTATTCCCACATCTATTCACCTACCTTCTCCGTCTAACTCCCCTGATTATTTAGAAGCAAATTGTGAACAGCTTTCTGATATTAACTTCAAAAACTTGATGGCATTTTTCCTCTGTCTTGTCTAAGAGCTGACTCCTGCTCCTATCTTAAAATCTGTAAGTTCCAGGCAGTTCTCTTCTCACAATCTGCCTCCACCTTTCTCAAAGTATTTATTCAATAGTTGCAGCCACATAATGTGTGACTACAGTACTGTTGATAACTCCCCAGTATGATGAATGTGGATCTTACTAGATGTAGCAAATCAGTTTATGTTTACTGTGTGAAACATTACTCTTAAATTTGACAATGCATTCTCAAAACAACTTAGAGGGCTTCCCTGGTGGCGCAGTGGTTCAGAGTCCGCCTGCCGATGCAGGGGACACGGGTTTGTGCCCTGGTCTGGGAAGATCCCACATGCCGCGGAGCAGCTGGGCCCGTGAGCCATGGCCGCTGAGCCTGCGCGTCCGGAGCCTGTGCTCAGCAACGGGAGAGGCCACAACAGTGAGAGGCCCGCATACCACAAAAAAAAAACAAAAAGAAAAAACAACTTAGATATACTTGCTTTTAAAGTAGTGTAAAATTATCAAAAGCTTAAAATAATTTAGATATAACAGTCCTGAGTGTTGTTTACTAAATAGTAATTTTACCACTGTAACTTTTGTATTAATAGTAACTGGAGCTGGAGAGTATAGGACATTCTTCAAATAGCACAGTGCAGTATGACAGTTATAGAATCTGTGGCCCCTTTCAGATCTGTTGTCTGCAACTGTCTGCTTATATGTACCTCCTTGTACTGACTGTCTTAATGATGGTGAGCCATTAGGTGTCTAGATTTCTTCTGCTAGGGTAATGAAATGGATCAGTGAGAAGAGCCTCAAATAATGTACCTGTTAGATTTTTATTGATTCAGTAAGAGTTCAGGCCTCTGAGAGCCCCACAATGGCATATTTAGTATGCTTGTCAGCAGTAGATTGAAGTTGTAGACTACATTGGCTGATTGATACTATGTGATCATAGGTGTACTCTTAGAAACTGGGCATTTATGGCTGATGTGAATCTGTAGATGATGTGGCCTTATTTAGTCTTATTATCCCAAAATGCATCCTTTATTGGGCCTGATTTGGAGGTTAAGGAAGCTCTGTAAATATAAAAAACCGGCATTGCTATTAGCAGCATACCTTCCAGTAGAAGTACATCATACTAGATTTCTTTTTTCTCTATAGCTTCTATATATACTAGATTTAGTAAATGTCTGCCAATATCTAGAAAGTTGTCCTATTACTTTTATCCTATAGGATAAACTGCTGTAGGGATGAGAGAATGGGTAAGTAAAAAGCACTTTTAGGATATAACATACTACAAAGTTAGAATACTTAATACTCTAAGAAACATTTCAGCCTGTATGTGTATGAATCCTGACTGCAGAGAAATTGAAATATGATAATCTTTAGATGCCAATAGGTTTAAATGCCGATACCAGTAGATTTCGAAGCTCCAGCCAGTTTCTGTCTTAACTTGAGCAAGTTTGATAAGAAATTATTACATATACATTAAATTCTAATTCCCCATTCCCCCTCCCCCCTGCCCCTGGCAAACACCACTGTAGTTTCTCTATGACTTTGACTACGTACCTTATATGAGTAGAATCATACAGTATTTAATCTTTTGTGACTGACTTATTTCGCTTAGCAGAATGTCTTCAAAGTTCATTCACATCACTGTAGCATATATCAGAATTTATTTTCTTTTTAAGGCTGAAGAACATTCACTGTATGTATTTACCACATTTGTTTATTCATTCATCTGTTGATGGACGCTTAACGTTACTTCCACCTTTGGCTCTTGTGAATAATGCTGTTAGAAACATGGTTGTACACATCTCTTTGAGACTCTGCTTTCAGTTCTTTTGGATATATACCCAGAAGTGGAATTGCTGGGTCATATGGTAATTCTATTTTTAATTTTTTGAGGAACCACCATACTGTTTTCCACAATGGCCACACCCATTTTACATTTCCTCTCAACAGTGCACAAGGTTTCTAGCTTCTCCACATCCATGCCAACATTACTTTCTTTTTTTCTGATAGTAGCTGTCCTAATGAGTGTGAAGTGGTATCTCACTGTGGTTTTCATTTGCATTTTTCTGACGATTAGTGGTGCTGAGCATCTTTTCATATGCTTTTGGTTGTTTGTATATCATCTTTGGAGAAATGTCTGTTCAAGTCCTTTGCCCAGTTTTTAATCAGGTTATTTGATTTGTTGTTATTGAGTTATAGGAGTCTTTTATGTGTTCTAGATATTAACCCCTTATCATATATATGATTTGCAAACATTTTCTACCATTCTGTAAGTTGCCTTTTTATTCTTGATTGTGTCTTAGTGCACAAAAGTTTTAAAGTTTTATATAGTCCCACATGTCTTTTTTCTTTTGTTGCCTGTCATATCTAAGAAATCACTGCCAAGGCTAATGTCTTGAAGCTTTTCTCTGTTTTTTTTCCTATAAGTTTTATAGTTTGGGGTCTTACGTTAGGTCTTTAAAACAGTTTGGGTTTATTTTTGTATATAGTGTAAGATAACGGTCCAGTTTCCTTCTTTTGCCTGTGGGTATCCAGTTTTCCCAAGATTATTTGTGGAAGAGACTGTCCTTTCCCCATTCATTGATTGGTCTTGGCACTGTGTCAAGGATCATTTGACCATGTATGCAAGGGTTTATTTCTGGGTTCTCTATTCTTTTCCATTGGTCTACCTGTCTGTCTTTATGCCAGCAGCATACTTTTGATTACTGTTTGGAAATAAGTTTTTGAAATCAGGAAGTGTGAGATCTCCAGTGTTGTTCCTTTTCAAGATTATCTTGGTTATAAGTGGTCCCTTGAGATTCCATAAGAACTTTAGGATGAATTTTTCTATTTTGTCAAAAAAAGTCATTGGTTTTTTTAAAGGAATTGCATTGAATCTGCAGATCACTTTGGGTAGTATTGACATTTTAACAACATTAGGTCTTCCAACCTAAGAACGTGGGATGTCTTTCCATTTATTACATCTTCTTAAATTTCTTTCAGCAATGTTTTGTAGTTTTCATCATGCAAGTCTTTCACTTCCTTCCTTAGTTAATTCCTAAGTGTTTTATTCTTTTTGAAGCTATTAATAATGCAATCATTTTCTTTATTTACTTTTTAGATTGTTCATTGTTAGTGTATAGAAACAAAACTGATTTTTGTATGTTGATTTTTTTTTTTTTTTTTTTTTTTTTGCTGTACGTGGGCCTCACTGTTATGGCCTCTCCCGTCGCGGAGCACAGGCGCTGGACGCGCAGGCTCAGCGGCCATGGCTCACGAGCCTAGCTGCTCCGCGGCATGTGGGATCTTCCCAGACCAGGGCACAAACCCGTGTCCCCTGCATTGGCAGGCGGACTCCCAACTACTGCGCCACCAGGGAAGCCCTGTATGTTGATTTTGTATTCTGCTACTTTGCCGAATTTGTTTATTCTAACACTTTTTTTTTGGTGGAATATTTAGGGATTTCTGCGTATAAGATATATCATTTGAAAACATAATTTTACTTCTTCCCTTCCGATTTGGATGAATTTAGTTTCTTTTTCTTGCCTTATTACTGTAGCTAGAGTTTCCAATCCTGTGTTAAATAGAAGTGGGGAATGCAGGCATTCTTATCTTATTCCTGGTCTTGGAGGAAAATCAGTCTTTCACCATTAGGTATGATGTTAGCTGTTAGTTTTTCATATATATGGCAAATCTCTTGTTCTTTATTTCTACTTGGAATATGGAAACCACTGCTTAATATGTCAGTCATCCACAGGCCAGAAATCATGTGTCATGGTGAAACAATAGAAGCATTTTTTAAAATGTGATTTTTCAAGTGATTTTTGACTAAATTATTTTGTAGAATATGGATGGAGATTCTGGGTTCTGTTGTCTTCCTCTGAGAAGTATTGATTCTTGTTTCAGCAAGCAGTTGTTACTGAATGATCATTTTGAACTCTTATATAGTTTTATGTTTTATTAATGTCCATCTGTGGAAAATCTAAGGTGTGTGTTAAGTCCCCTAAGGTGGCAGGATTTAGCCTCCAAACTCTGTCTCCTCTGTGGCTTTTTCAAACTCTGTCTCCTCTGTGGCTTTTTAGGTGGGTTTACAGCAGGTCTTGTTCTAGGACATGGCCCTTAGTCTCAAGGGAAAGCTCTTCTGGTATCTCAGCTGAATGCCAGGGTTATTTAAGGAGGTGTTTATGGGGCCTCTAAATTCTGGCAGTCTTGGAACTTCACTGTCCTCAGCACTGCTTTCTTCCCCTAGCACTGATCAACCTTCTAGTAGCTGTTTTCTCAATTTCATAGCAGCTGCTATTTGGTAAGCCTTAGGTGGTCTTGCTCTGTGTGTGTATAGCCCGTCCACGCTCAGGACACTCCTGTGTAGACTTCTGGAGGCCCCTTCCTGCGTAGTTTTCTACTGTTCAATGCCCTTAATTCTGATTTCTGCCTACTGTATTTTGCTTTGACTCCAACTCTCTCTGCCAGGTCTGGAAATGTTCCTAGACAGCTGGGTAGTGATAGGGCTCACTGTGAGTTTTTCTTGTCCGTTTTCTGTTGTCTGAAAGTTACTACCTCATATATATTGTCCACTTTTATAGTTACTTACAGTAAGAAGGGCTAGTCTAGGGCCTCACTTATTCTAGCCTAACTGGAAGAGAGTCTTTTGGAAACTTCACAAATGATTCTAAAGTTCTTAAAAATACACCAGAAAATGAATAGAGAAATCCTGAAAAAGAGTAAGGGAAATGTGATGTAAGTCAGAGTAACTTTTACAGGTATTAAATGTGTTATAAAGCTATAGGATTTAAAACATTATGGTACTGGTATAGATATATATCGTTGGGGAAGGCCTCCTAGAATTTACTATGTGGTAGTGGTGGCTTCTCGATCAGTGAGGAAAAGATGGCTTACTTAAGAAGATTATTTTAGAATATAAACAGACTAACCATTTGGAAAACAATGAAGCTAAATCATTCCCTCACTACTTCATCATAACTGATTCCATATGGAATCAAGATTAAACATTATATTGAAATAAAAGCAATACAAGAGAGTAAAATTTTTTATTTCTTAGTCTTGGAATGGTAGAAGTCTCTGTAAAAATACATATTATTTTCTGTATTACAAAGGACACCATCAAAAAAATAATGGTTTCAACCAACAGTGAAAAAAATTAGTTGTGATATTTCAGATCATGTCACACTAATCTTACTGATCAAAAAGAAACTAGATTGGACTAGTTTTATTAGCAAGATAAACTATATCAATGAGCAGTTAACAGAAGAAATATAAATGACCGATGAATAGGGAAGGGTGCTCAATATGTCATTTAAATAAATGCAGGTAGTAATGATGCCACTGGACACAGTAGATTGACAGAAATCAGAAAAGGTTATTGTTAGCCAGTATTGGAGAGCATGGGGGAAATATACATTGTCATTTACTATTTATGCAGTATAGCTTAACAGAAAACCTTTGGATCCACAGTATCTCTCATAAGCAAAAGTGAGCATGTACTCTGATCCAGTATGACAGGGCGGTTCCACAAATTATTGTTTATCCATTGATTCTGAGGATACCTTGCAGTACTTAGGCTGCTTTATGGGCCCAGTTTCAGACTTACAGAGTCAGATTTTTTGTGGGTCACTTAGGCATATTTCTTAAATAATTTCTCCTCATGTTTCTCTTACATATTTAAAGAACCATGGATTTATCCAAAAAGAATACAAAGTCTGCAAATATAAGTGCTCGTATGTTTGATAGAATATTGAGAAAACAATTACATAAATAGTGATGCTAAATCAGTCTGATAAAATAGAATGTGGTCTTCACATGGAATGTGCTCTGTATGTGGAGACAAAATTATATGATAAATGAAAAAAACAAGTCACAGAACATAATGCATAAGCATGATTATGTGATTAGGGAAAATGTGTATGCATACAGAATGTCTGAGAGGATATACAAATTTTTTTGAGATATAATTGATTTACAGTATTATATGTTTCAGATGTACAACATAGTGATTCACAGTTTTTAAAGGTTATTCTCCCTTTATCGTTATTGTAAAATATCGCTTGTATTCCCTGTGCTGTACAATAAATATGTCCTTGTAGCTTATACATTTATATGTAGTAGTTTGTATCTCTCACTATCCCTACCCCTGTCTGGTGCCCACCCACTTCTCTCTCTCCACTGGTAACTACTAGTTTGTTCTCTGTATTTGTGAGTCTGTTTCTTTTTTGTAATATTCATTAGTTCTACTTTTTAGATTCCTCATGTAAGTGATATCATACACTGCTTGCCATTTGCTGACTTATTTCACTAAGCATAATACTTTCTAATACTCTCCATGTCCATCCATGTTGATGCAAAATGGCAAGATTTCATTCTTTTTTTATTGACTGAATAGTATTCCATTAGAGGATATACAAACTTAATAGGGGTTGTTTCTGGAGGGATGGACTTACCTTTTTTGTTTTATGACTTTCTTATATAGCTTCTTTGCTTTTATTTTTCCATGAGCAGATTTTATTGTTTTTTTTTTTCTTATTGAGCACGTTTTATAATACCAATTCAAGGGAAATCAAGAAGCTTGTACTTTTAGAAGTGTATTTGATAATGAAGTATATTTTGACACTAGGTTAGGTAAATTTCAGTTAGTTGAAACTTTGGCTAAAGAATATTTTAAATTGGGCTTATGGGAGGCTTCAGTGTTTTGAATTGAAGCTATATCTATTATACAGTATATTTTCTTGAAACAAACACTGTTTTGTTTTGACAGTATATTGCTTTTTCTGAGTTGAGTATTCATAATATTAATGCTTTTCTTTTAAGAACCCTCAACAACTAGTACTGCTTCAAATTATCCAGATGTATTAACAAGGCCTTCTCTTCATCGGAGCCATCTGAATTTCTCCATGTTGGAATCTCCTGCGTTACACTGTCAGCCCTCCACATCTTCGGCATTCCCAATTGGCAGTTCTGGATTTTCCCTCGTAAAGGAAATTAAAGATTCTACCTCTCAGCATGATGATGATAACATCTCAACCACCAGTGGTTTTTCTTCAAGAGCTTCTGATAAAGGTATTCTTGGCATTTGGTAGTATATAATTTTGGTAGTAAAAATAAATTTCATGGGATAATTTTTTCTAACTTGGTTGTCATTTTCAATTTATAAAAATATAGGCCTTGTAATTAGTGGCATTACTATGAATTGCATATTTTTGTTTCAGATATAGCTGTTTCAAAGAACACTTCAGTGCCACCTCTGTGGTCCCCAGAGGCTGAACGTTCTCATTCACTCTCACAGCACACTGCCACCAGCTCAAAAAAACCAGCATTCAACTTGTCTGTCTTTGGAACACTTTCTCCTGTGAGTACTAATTTGATGTGATTTAACCATGTTAGTTTTGAGTGTTTATTGCTTATAATTTATCATTATGTTTTTGTGCAGTCGCTTGGGAATTCTTCAGTTCTTAAAACAAGTCAGCTTGGAGATTCTCCTTTTTACCCTGGAAAAACGACATATGGTGGGGCAGCAGCTGCTCTAAGACAGTCTAAACTACAAAACACACCCTATCAGGTTGGTTTGAATAGGAGGAGGATTCGTAACCATTTTTTTTAAATAATCAATAAGTAACTTGGCACTCAAATAGAGTTTTGGTTTAGTTATTCTTTGGTGAAATGATAGAACTCTGGATTACATTCTTTTCATTTAGGGGCTATATTAATATTATTTGAGACCTAAGGGAACATTTTATACATTATTTGTGATTTATTCATTCATTCATTCATTCATTCATTCATTTATGGCTGTGTTGGGTTTTTGTTGCTGCACACGGGCTTTCTCTAGTTGCGGTATGTGGGCTTCTCTTGTTGCGGAACATGGGTTCTAGGTGCGTGGGCTTCAGTAGTTGCAGCATGTGGGCTCAGTAATTGTGGCATGTGGGCCCTAGAGTGCGCGGGTTTCTGTAGTTGTGGAATGCAGGCTCAGTAGTTGTGGCTTGCGGGCTCTAGAGTGCAGGCTCAGTAGTTGTGGTGCATGGGCTTAGGTGCTCTGTGGCATGTGGGATCTTCCCCAGCCAGGGATCGAACCTGTGTCTGCCGCATTGGCAGGTGGATTCTTTTTTTTAAATTTATGTATTTTTTGGCTGCGTTTGGTCTTTGTTGCTGAGCGTGGGCTTTTTCTAGTTGCGGCGAGTGGGGGCTACTCTTCGTTGCGGTGCACGGGCTTCCCACTGCGGTGGCTTCTCTTGTTGCAGAGCATGGGCTCTAGGCACGCGGGCTCAGTAGTTGTGACTCGCAGGCTCTAGAGTGCAGGCTCTGTAGTTGTGGCGCACAGGCTTAGATGCTCCATGGCATGTGGGATCTTCCCAGACCAGGGCTCAAACCTGTGTTGCCTGCATTATTAGCAGGCAGATCCTTAACCACTGCACCACCAGGGAAGTCCGTGTGTGTGTGTGTGTGTGTGTGTGTGTGTTTTAGGAAGTATGATGATTAATTCCTTTTTTAAAAAATTGAAGTATAATTTACATGTAGTAAAATTTACCCTTTCCACAGTATTTGAATTTTAACTAAACACATACAGTTGAGTAACCACTTCTGCAATCAAAATACTGAATAAACATTTCCATCACCCCAGAATATTACGTTGTGTATCTCTGTAGTCAGCCCTTCTTCCTACTCCTTTTTTTTTTTCTTTTTTCTTTTTCTTTTCTATGCCTCACTCTCTCCCTTCGGCTCTTTCCGCGGCCCTTCGGGAGAGCCGTCTGCCTCTCTCCTCGTGACGCCGCCTCCACCTCCCAGTTCCCCCTCCCACCTCGCCCTTCCTTCCACCTCTTGGCACGTCCGGGCCCGAGCCGCCATTTTGTGTGAATTTCTGACTGCGGCGGGGGCTGGGAGGCGGGGGCACCAGGGGCGGGCAGGCAGGCAGACAGACAGACAGTCGGCCTGTGTCTGCGGCCCGTTTCCTTTTCCTAAATTTATTTTTGTTTTTAAAATCGCCCTCGCTCGCTCTCCTCTTTTCCCTTCCCCCCTCGCTTGCTCCATTGCGCGCGGCCCGCGCTAATTGCACCGAACCACCCACCAGTGTCCGTGTCTCCCGGGTCTCCCACCCCCGGGCCCGCAGCGGTGTGTGTGTGGGGGTGCTCTCGCCCCGATGAGGGCCCCGCGCCTGTGAGCGAGTGACCCCAGGGGCGGGCTGCGGAGAAAGCAGGCGGTGAGCGGCCCGCTGAGGCCTAGGCCGCGCAGCCTAACGCGGAGGTCGGTGCACCCTTCTTCCTACTTCTATCTCTTGGCAACCACCGATCTGTTTTCTTTCCCTGTAGTTTGTTTTTTCCCAGGATGTCATAAACTTAATCACATGCTGTGTAGTTTTCTGAATGTGGCTTATTCAGCTTAGCATAATGTATTTAAGATCAGTCTCTGTATTTGCATTTATCAATAGTTACTTCCTTTTTATTGCTGAGTTATTGTTTATCTGCTCACCAGTGAAAGGATGCTTGGGTTGTTTCTAATTTTTGTCCATTGTGAATAAAGCTGCTATAAACATTAATTTTCATTTCTCTTGGGTAAATACCTAGAAGTTGGACTGCTGAGTCAGATGGTAAATATACATTAATTTTATAATAAACCATGAAAGTGTTTTCCAAAGTGGCTGCTACCACTTTGCATTCTCACCAGTGTTATAAGTGTGTTCTGGTCAGCATTTGTTATCATCAGTGTTTTGTTTATTTCAGGCATTCTAGTAGGCATGTAGTGATAACTCCAACTCACTGTGGTTTCGCATTTCCCTAATGATTAATGATGTTGGGCATCTTTTCGTGTGCTTATTTACCATCAGTATATCTTAGGTGAAGTACTTAATTCAAATCTTACTGCCCATTAAAAAAAATCTAAAAACATTTTTCACTGAGTTATTAATATAGAATATTAGTTTTAGATGTGCAACATAGTGATTTGATATTTTTATACATTATGACACAACTGCATTAAGACCAGTTACCATCCATCACCATACAAAGTTGTTAAAATATTACTGACTATATTCCCTGTGTGTACATTACATCCCTGTGACTTATTTATTTTATAGCTGAAGTGTACACCTATGAATCCCCTTCACCTATTTTGTCTGTCCCTTTTGCCCATTTTTTAAAAAAATTTTTTTCTTATTAGTGAGTTTTGAGAGTTCATTATTCAGGTTGTAAGTCCTTTATTAGATACATGTTTTGCAAATATTTTCTCCCATTCTCTGGCTTGTCTGAACAATATCTTGTCAAGAGAAGTTTTTACTTTTGATGACATTCAGCATATTTTTTCTTCCTTTTATGGTTCATGCTTTTGGTATCATATCTAAGAAATTTTTGCCTAACCCAAGGTCACAGAGACTTTCTTCTGTTTTCTTTTAGAAGCTTTATAGTTTTAGGTTTTAATTTAGATCTGTGATTCATTTTGAGGTAAAATGTTTGTGTGTGGTATGAGGTGTGGATCAAGATTCATTTTTTTAACATACAGGTTTTCATTTTTTCTAGTCCTGTTTGTTGATAAGACTGTTTTCTCCATTGAATTGCCTTTGCACCTTTTATGAAAATCAATTGACCATATATGTGGCTCTATTTCTGGACTTTCTGTTCTTTTCCATTGATGTGTGTGTGTGTCCGCGTGCACGTATATATATATACACCTATCTTTTGTCAACACTGTCCTTTTGTCTTGATTACTATATATTAAGTCTTGAAATCAAGTAATCTGAGTCTTCCAAACCCCCCTGTCCCCGCCCAAGATTGTTTTGGCTTTCCTAGTTCCTTTATTTTTTCATAATTTTAGAATTACCGTATCAGTTTCCACAAATCTGCTGGGATTCTGATTGTGATTGCATTGAATCTAAAGATCAATTTGGGGAGAATATGCATCTTAACAAAATGGAGTCTTCCAGTCAGTGAACACAGTATGTCTCTCCATTATATAGGTCTTTTTATTTCTTTCATCAGTGTTTTGTAGTATTCACCACGCAGACCTTGCACATATTTTGTTGGATGTATACCTAAGTATTTTATGTTATTTGGTGTTAGTCAACAATAAATAGCCCAAATAGTCTATTCAGTAAATTGAATTCATAGTTAAAGTACTTTCCACCAAAGAAAACTTCAAGCCCAGATAGCTTCCCTGGCAAATTCTACCAAACATTTAAGAAAAAATAATACCAATTTTATACAAACTTTTCCATACAATAGGAAGGCATACTTCCCAACACATTTATGAGGCCAACATTACCCTGATATTAAACCGGACAAAGACATTACAAGAACTCTACAAACCAGTATTTCTCTTGAATTACCTACACAAGGCACCCAGTATATATAAAAAGGATACTACATTATGATCAAGTGGGGTTTATCCTGGGAATGCAAGGTTGGCTCAACATTTGAAAATTAATGTGATCTACCATGGAAACAAACTAAAGAATAAAAACTGAATGAACATCTCCACAGATACATAAAACACATTTGACAAAATCGAACATCCATTCATGATAAAAATTTTCAGTGACCTAGGAATAGATGGGAACCTACTCAACCTGATAAATTTTGTCTACGGAAAATCTTCGGCTAGCATCATACTCATGGTGAAAGCTTAGTATTTTCTTCCTAAGATCAGGAAGAGAACAAGGATGTCTGCTGTCACCGCTACTGATCAGTGTTGTGCTGCAAGACCTAGCCACAGCAAGAATACAGAAATACAAGGCACCCTGATTAGAAAGGAAGAAGTAAAAATGACTCCTATTCATAGACAACGTGCTTATCTACATAGAAAACCTTAAGAAACTCTAAAAAAAAAGTTGTCAGAACTTACAAATGAGTTTAGCGAGGTCGCAGAATAAAGGTCAACATACAAAATCAGCTGTATTTACATACATATATTAACAGAACAATTGGAAATTAATTTTTTAAAAACATCAATTTAAGGTAAATTGCATCATTCTGTGCTTTGTCCCAAGAGTTATTTGATCATAAAAGTCCAGTTTCATGTGTATGTTGTCATGGTGCTTACATTACAGGTTTTGACCTTTTAAAGATGGAGGTGTAATAATACTTTAAGCCTGTAGGCTTTTGGTAGACTTTTGGAGAGGGAGATCCATTTGAAGATGACAATCCATGATATAGAAGTGACACAAAACAAGTATATATGAAGATTGTGTCTTGTCCTTAGGAGTAGTTTCTTTCCTAAGTAGAGGATGCTTCTATATGTAATTGACAGTAATTATGAGTCTTATTTCTGAGTGTGTTGTTCATGAAGGGCAATATTTTGTTACTTAAAGTGTTAACTGGATGTTGGAGTTACACAGGGAGTTTTTTCTAGAGCTTAAACTGGATCATATTATTATTTTTCACAAAATTTTTACAGTTAAAATAGTTCAGTGTGTATTAGAAGATGAAGCATGCCTGTGATTCATGGAATAGTCCAAGTCAGAGTATATTTCTGCTACTTCCTCCTCTGTTTCTTGTATCAAATCCTATACTTTTTAATGCTGAGTCTTGACATACCCTTAGAATCCTTGTCAGCATGAGCTTCCAACTGTTCATCATTGATATTTGGGGTTAAATCTATTTCCTATTCCTTTCCTAGGGTGTTAGAGCTGGGAGGTATATTAAAGATTCTCTAATTCAGTTCCATTTTATTGATTTGTGAATTGAGGCCCTGAGAGGCCAGTGACCAGCAGAATCCAATGATAGACTGTTATGTTTTCCCCGAGGATTTTAATGTTACCTCATGTTTGCCAAAGCCTCTGGCCTGAACAGCAGTCCTAAACAGTGCACCAAGTTCTTAATAAAACTAACGTAGAATATTGCAGCTACTCTGAAAATAAAATGAATATTGGTATCAGAGAAACTTACTTAAAGTAGTTATTTTGATTCAAGTTTTCAGATATTATGAGCTATTTGTAGAAACTGAGTTATATTTTGATTGTGAGCATATATATTTTTTATATTAAGCATTTCCAGACTACATTTGTGGTAGTCACTTGGATGTTTTGTGGTAGTCACTTGGCTATTGGAATGTTATAATGCGTTCATGACAAAAGGAAGTGTTTCTGTTAGAATTTGTAAACACTGCTTGTGTGTTAAAGGGTACATGTTTATTCTTTATAAGGATTTTTCCTTAACTCCAATTTTAAGAACGTTTAAAAGTCATTTATTAAGAAATAGCCTGAGTATTTAAAATTTTCTTATTAAAATTTGAGAAACAAGTCAGTTTAAAATTTTTAATTTCCATTTCAATAAAAGTTTACAGTCTTGTTTAGCTATCTTGGATGTTACTATAGTTAGACGTTATTTAATACCAAAAATAATTAATACTAATGCAGTTCTCATTAGTGTTTTTTGATTTAAATATCAGGGATAAATTGATCCAGGTGATACTATAACTTTTTACCAGTTGTCTCATTTTTCACATTTAACATAGCTGACTGGTCTTTAGAGTAGCATGTGCTATTTTATCATTTTTATCTGATTGTAAAAGTAATTTCTCAGAGAATTGAATTTTCAATAAAGGCATAAAGAAAAAACGTTGAACATGAGCTTAATGATACCACCCAGAGATAAGTTGCTGTTAACAGTTAATCCTATTTCACTTCTCACATTCATTCTGTTTTGTAAGTATTTTCATTGCCTGAAATATGGGCTTTAGAGTTTATGGTTGCAACAAATAACTCAAGGTTTACATTATAGGCACCAGTCAGAAGACAGATGAAAGCTAAGCAACTGAACGCACAATCCTATGGTGTGACTAGTTCAACAGCTCGGAGGATATTGCAGTCTTTAGAGAAGATGTCAAGCCCTCTAGTGGTAAATTTTTTAAATCACAAATTCAGGAGTGTAACAGAATTTTGAGTTTAGTGAAAAATCTTAATTTTGTTATTTCAACATTAACAGGATGCAAAAAGAATTCCATCTGTTTTTTCTTCTCCTCTGAATTCCGTAAGTTGACTTTTAAATCTTTTTAGGAGATAATATTTTTATATATTGGTGATGAGAGTCATATTTTTTCAAAGTTTCCCATCTATTCTAATAGTGTTTTATTTTTTCAGCCTCTTGATAGGAGTGGGATAGATACCACCACAAATTTTCAGGCCAGAAGGGAAAAGGTAAGACTTCTTTAGCATTTATCTAAGGTATTGGCAGTTTTGTTTTATTTATTTATTTATTTTGCATTACGCGGGCCTCTTCACTGTTGTGGCCTCTCCCGTTGCGGAGCACAGGCTCCGGACGCGCAGGCTCAGCGGCCATGGCTCTTTGATTTAAATATCAGGGATAAATTGATCCAGGTGATACTATAACTTTGGCCTAGCTGCTCCACGGCACGTGGGATCTTCCCGGACCGGGGCACGAACCCGTGTCCCCTGCATCGGCAGGCGGACTCTCAACCACTGCGCCACCAGGGAGGCCCTGTATTTATTTTTAAGTTGGGAAATATACAAATTGACTTTAATTGGTAGTCATTAGGGAACATATTTGAAAAAATAGATTTTTTACTTGGACAGTGTAGCCTCTTGTGAGGGCCTTACCACATGCTGTATATGTAGTAGATGCTCAGTGAATATTTCTTGGTTATTTGGCATTTTTTTAACATTTTAAAAAATTTTGGGGGGGGGTATAGGTGATTTACAATGTTTCGTTAGTTTCAGGTGTATAGCAAAGTGAATCAGTTATACATATGTCCACTCATTTTTTAGATTCTTTCCCCATTTAGGCCATTACAGAGTATAGAGTAGAGTTCCCTGTGCTATACAGTAGGTTCTTATTAGTTATCTATTTTATATATTCCTGTCAGCCTTTATGAGTGACTCTTACCTTTTAATAAATGAAAGTAGGAGTGAACGGAGTTTGACGTTTTTATTAATTAGAAGTTCAGTGAACTAAAGCCCTCATTGAACATAGTTATCTTTGTAAATTTTCCTGATAAATATTATGTCAAATTTGTTATGTGTGATGGGATTTCTAGTTGGCATATCTTCCATCAGTCAGCCAATGTACTGTTCCAAGATAGCAGAGCTAATAAAAAATATAATGTAGATTATACATTGATAACCTTTTTTAGTGTATTCTATTTGGTTAAAATTAGCTTTGGAGGTTACTGTGGGGAAAAAAAAAGCTTGATAGTTAGAGTTAAAGAGGTATATTTTTTGTCAGTTATATTTGTGGCTAGTTAAATATCCTTCAGGGGAAGCAGATTCCCAGATCATTACTTGTGAAAGCAGTTATGATACCAAGTTCCCCCAGCAGTAATTGATTAAAATTATCATAAATCTCTGAATTAATTGTGGTAACTATATTCAATATATCGGTAAATTATAATTATTGTTACTGAAATTCTGAAAGCTTAATTGAGTTTTTTCTTGGGATAGCATTGCTTCTCAGTTTTCCGTAGTACCCAGACATTTGTAATAAGGCAAGAGAGAATTCATTATTGGCTGCTGTGATGGGATTAATTTAAGCCATTAACTGCTTTTCTCAGACTCACTTATATCAGATTGCTTAAAAAGACGTAAAATTTAAAAATTGTGCCATAAGAGAAGTTCTCATCAATAAAAATTTTATTAATGGTTGAGTATAGTATCAGTAAAATTTTGGTAATGGGTGCTACGAAGTATAAAGACCAGAATACAGTATTGTAGTTCAGGTTTTACGGTTGTAATCAGAACAGACTACAAGACAGACTTGTTCATTGAATTATAGGATCAGCACATTTGTGATGAGGATTTAGGGAAGAGCTAGTAACTATACAGAGGCTTTGCCCTGGAAACCAGTGTTGTTCGCAGCTGCTGCTGGGTGAAAGGACTGTATTCATAGTATTAGTCTTTGGACAGAGTACAAGCTCTTGGCTTTATAGTCGTCTTACGCCAACAGGATTTTTACTGTGTTTCAGTGTACCAAAAGAATGTTGACAAAACACTTGTGTACTTAGATAATGAAGTCAGTTCATCTTAAGATTTGGAATTCTTCACAGTGCTTTACTAATTAGACTTAAATTTTACGAGTTTTGATTTGGTTTTTAAATAACAATGGAAGAAAATTTACTTGGAGAGAGATTTGCTCATTTTTTAGCAATTAAGATATTTTCATAGCTAGTTAAAAAATACAGCTGAAGAGAATGTAGATAGTAATTTGGGGAAAACGTGGCAAAATCAGTTTTATGTTTGAATAATATGTATGTTTATCAGTTTTATGTATGAATCAGTTCATATGTTTGAAATTCATCTTGTAAAAGATTATTCAAAATGCTCTGCAATAGTTTCCATTTTGTGTGTGTCACATGTGTGTGAAAAGGCATTAAGTCTAGAATAAAATAGTCTGTGAAACTGTTTTGAAATTATATGTGTATATGTAGGTATATGTCTAAATAAATAAGTACATACATAAATAATATAAATACCCCCACACACCCTTGGTTCTATACTTTCAGTTTTTCCTCCTAGTATTTGTTTGCACCCACTGGGTATTTCTCTAGGAAGTACTCATAGTCTCTGGGTTACATTAGCTGTTGTCAAATAATTTTTAGATATGCATTGCTGATATATGAAAATAAAAGTTTGTCTTTTGATTTCTGCCTGTCTGTAAGGTGGACTCTCAACACCCCCCTGTTCAGAGACTCATGACCCCAAAGCCAGTTTCCATAGCAGCAAATCGAACTGTTTATTTTAAACCATCTCTGACCCCATCTGGTGAATTAAGGAAGACTAATCAAAGAATAGATAAAAAGCACAGTGTGAGTATGTGTTTATTTTCACTAGTCTTTGAATATCGATTAAAATGAATAAGTAATGTAAAGTACCAGTAACTTACTACTGCAGTCTAGCAACTAGATAATGCATAAAGTTTGTGAATTAGTGATGATTACGAATTGGTATGGCTTTAAATGGTTGGCACCTTGGTCAAATCCTAAATTAGTGTTTACTAGTAAACACTAGTATATATTCATTGTTTAGATTAAATAATTTTGCCACACTAGCTTTATTTGTGTGTTTTGTTAATGTTATTGAACTATTTGAAAATAAATTTTAGACACCATGACTGTTCACCCCAAACTACTTTGGTATAGATCTCCTATGTTGTCATGTCTAAGCAAATTACTGTCAGTTCCTTCCTAATATTATCTAATATGTAGTTCATATTCATATGTTATTTATAGCTGTTTGGGGTTTTTTTGTTTGTTTGTTTGTTTTGCCATACCATGCATCTTGTGGGATCTTAGTTCCCCAACCAGAGATTGAACCCAGGGCCCAGGCAGCGAAAGCGCAGAGTCCTAACCACTGGACTGCAAGGGAATTAATTCCCTATGGCTGCTTTTGAGCCAGAATCCAAACAGGTTTCACATATTACTTTTGGTTTTGTCTTTCTAGACCTCAAATCTTCATGCTCACCACATTGTTTTTGTTTTTAAATAACTAACTTATTGAGGTATAATTCACATACCTTGCCATTCACCTGTTTATTTAAAGTTTACAGTTCAGTGGTTTTAGTACATTCACAGTTGTTCATCTACCACTACAGTCAATTTTAGAACATTTTCATCACCATCCCCTCCCCCTCACCCAAATCTCACATCCGTTAGTAGTCACTTTCCACCTCTACCCCTCAAGCCCTAGGCAACCACTAATCTGTCTCTATAGGTTTGCTTATCTGGACATTTCATATAAATGAAATCTTAAAATAAGTGGTCCTTGGTGTTTGGCTTATTTCACTTATGTTTTTGAGGTTCACATCATATATTAGAACTTCAGTCCTTTTTATGGCTGAATAATACTTCATTGTTTGGATATACCATGTTTATCCATTCATCAGTTGAGGGACATTTGGGTTGTTTTCACTTTTTAACTGTAATGAATAAATACTGCTGTGAACTTTTGTGTGCAAGTTTTTTGTGGACTTAGGTATTCGTTTCTCTTGGGTCTTATAGCTTGGAGTAGAATTGTTAGGCACATTGGTATTTGAAAAGGCCAGGTCAGTTCTTAAATGATGTGTCTCGTATCCTGGGTTTGTCTGTTTTCCTGTGTCATTTAACTAAAGTGTATTTTTTTGTATTTACATAACATCTTCCTATTTGTGCCTTTGTTTATGTTTAATTTCATTCAATCTTCATAACTCAGTTTCTTTAAAATTTTCAAACTAAAGTTGAAAGAATAGTACAATATTTACCCATTTCCTTTAACTTGACTCACCAATCTTTAACATTTTGTTATATTTGCTTTATCAAACTTTAAAAAAATGATTTGAGCATAATTTTGGACTTGCAAGAAAAATCTTAAGAGCTCCACATTTTACTACATTTCCTTCATGTTTTTCTGTGTTTTCTACAAACACATAACTGCAGAACAATTACTCAAACCAGAAAGAAACTTGACATCGGTACAGTACTATTATTTACAGATTTTATTTAGATGCCAGTTGTCCCAAAAGAAAGAAAATGCAAGATCATGTCTTGCACTTAGTTGTCATATCTCTTTATCTCATTTAGTCTAGAACAGGTTTTTAGGGTTTTTTTATTTGTTTGTTTTTTGGTATTTCATAACATTTGATAGTTCTGAAGAGTAAAGTAAGCTGCGTGTTCGACGTCTCCTCATGATTAGACTCCAGTGTGGTACTTTTGGTAGTAATACCACAGAATAGAGTCTGAACTCTTCTCAGTGTGTCGTATTAGGAGGCACGCTCTACCAGCTTGTCCCACTCCTGACACTGTGATAACTAGTTAAGGTGGCGTCAGTGGGGTTTCTTCACTGTGAAGTTACTATTTTACCTTTCGTAATTAATAAGATAACTTTTAGAGGATAAGTATCTTTTTCACTCACCAGTGTTAGCATTATTGATGATATTTGCCTGAATCTATTATTTGTAGATGCCAAATGGTGGTTTTCTAATTACACTATTTCTTCTACCTTTATGAAGTTGGTTTTCTACTATAGGAAGTTTTCTTTTCTCTTTTTTGTGTGTATTTCTCTATTTAAGTCAGCGCGAATTCTTCATAAGATTATAATCTTTTATTAGCATTATTTATTTTGATGCTCATATTATCCCATATTTGGCCTTTGAACTGGCTCCTGTGTGTCCTTTTAATATTTCCCCATCATTTTTCAAGCACTTAGTTTCTTTTTGATACTATAAAACAACCCAGGCTCATCTTGTGAGTTTTCAGCCCCAGCCCTGTAATCAGCCATTTCTCCAAGGAACCCTGATTCCTTTAGATAGAGGAACTCTTAAGTTGCAGAGAATCATTTCAAAAGGAATATCCTTGTAAATTTGATTGCACATTTAATAGGCCATAATGAGAGATAAGTAAAAGTATTTTTGTGGTTGGTAAGTGTATTAAATTTGTACACTGCTGTTTTGTTGAAAGGACAGTTTGTGCTTAGTGACAGTTTATGTGTATAATCACACTGTAGCTCTTGGTCATCATTCAGGAGACAGGGTATAGGTTGCAGATTTTAGGATTCACTAACTAAAAAATTCCTGATTCCAAATATTAAAATTCACAGATAGAAGGGTGGTGTTAAGAAAATTAAATAAGCAAGCATGTAAATACATTGTGTTTATTCTTTCCTAGACTGGATATGAAAAAAATATGACACCAGGACAAAATAGAGAACAGCGAGAAAGGTAATGTCATCTTTATAGTGAAGCTTCTTTATACTTATTTGTAAGGTCTGTATTTGATTTGTATCTGCCTTTTTGAAGATTAAGAAGGTTAAAAAAATAGAAACCACACACACACACAAATCTGTCAGCTTTTAAAATGACATTCAGCTGAACATTTATTTTCTCAGTTGTTAGCAGTTCTAATTTTTTGGTGTTCAATTAGTTAACAAGTTATGGACCAGAGTAATACATCATTGGTTTTAATTTTCTTTTTCTTTGCCTAGCGGCTTTTCTTACCCAGATTTCAGTGTGTCTGCAGCCAATGGTTTGTCTTCTGGAGTAGGTGGTGGAGGTGGGAAGATGAGGCGAGAGAGGACGCGCTTTGTGGCATCTGAACCTCAAGAGGAGGAGGTAGGGTTGTACTCTTTTTTTTTTTTTTACATCTTTAGGGTTGTACTCTTAATGTGTTCTGAAGCATCGTAATACCTTGAAGTTTATTATTAAAAGCTTTGGTGTGGTGGTGAGGGGGAGACCTGGAGGTCCCCTGGAGGGGTGCAGTTTGGGGAGACACAGCACAAGAATAATCTGCCATTGAAACAGTTCCTTAAAAGCATGTGTGTGTATGTTAAGCTGTCAGGCTTTTTTTTTTTTTTTTTAAATTTTTGGCTGCGTTGGGTCTTCGTTGCTGCGCGGGCTTTCTCTAGTTGCGGTGAGCAAGGGCTACTCTTCATTGCAGTGCGCTGGCTTCTCATTGTGGTGACTTCTCATTGTGGTGGCTTCTCTTGTTGCGGAGCATGGACTCTAGGCGTGCGGGCTTCGGTAGTTGTGGCATGCGGGCTCAGTAGTTGTGGCTTGCGGGCTCTAGAGTGCAGGCTCAGTAGTTGTGGTGCACGGGCTTAGTTGCTCCATGGCATGTGGGGTCTTGGTTTCCCCGACCAGGGATCAAACTGGCATCCCCTGCATTGCAAGATGGATTCTTAACCACTGGACCACCAGGGAAGTCTGGAGAAATGTTTCCACCTGTGTAACCCAAACCCCTATCAAGCTGTCAAACATTTACATCACTCCAGAAAGTTCACTCATACACCTTCCCTGTCAGTGCCCATTGCCTCCTGCCCCAGGGACAGTCACTATTCTCATTTGTTCCATCATATATATATGGTTTTGCTGGTTCTAGAACTTCATATTGATAGTTAGTATGTATTCTTTTGTTCCTGACTATTGTGAATAAAGCTGCTGTGAACATTCTTGAACCTTTTTGTAGACATAAGTTATTTCTCTTAAGGTAAATACTTAGAAGTGGAGTTATGAGGTTATATGATATGAATTTAACTTTTTAAGTAACTGACAAACTGTTTTCCCCAAAGTGATTGTAACATTTTACACTCCCACCAGCAGCGTGGGGCTTTTCTTAATCAAATACTCTTTATCAGTAGTTGACTGTCATCCTTTAAATTTTAGCCATTCTGCTTTGTGTATGATGGTGTCTCGTAATTTTAATTTGCCTTTCCCTCTTGCTTAATAATGTGTTCTTCTTTATGTGTTTATTGGCCATAATATCTTCCTTTGTGAAGTGTCAGTTAGATCTTTTGCTCTTTTAAAAATTGGATTGTCTTACTATCATCGAGTTGTAGGAACTCTATAAATTGTAGACCCAAGTACTTTGTCAGATACGTGTCTTACAAATATTTTCTCCCAGTTTGGCTTGCCTAATCCTTTTCTTAACAGTATTCTTTGATAAGCAGATGTTCTAACTTTGTGAAGTCTGAACTTAACCATTTTTTCCCATTATTTTTACTGTTCTTTGTGTCCTAAGAAACCTATCCCCAGGCTGCCAAAAAAGTCTCCTATGTTTTCTTCTAGGAGATTTATAGTACTGCTTTTATGTTTTTCCTAGTTTCCTTTTTGATTCCTTATATAATCTGTGGATTATTAAGAAGTGGATTTAGTCGTGATTTTAATGTTTTGAAATGTATTGAGACTTGTTTTGTAGCCCAGCACATGGTCTGCTTGATGAGTCTTGACGAATGTATATTCTGCGGTTGTTGGGTATAGTATTCTCTAGATATCAGTTAGATAAGATGACTGATAGTATTTCTAAGATCTTTGTTCTTGCTGAATTTTGGAGGGAGTGGGGTGGGGAGATGTCTGTACTGTATTGTTGAGATATGAGTTAAAATTGTCAACTTTTATTTGGTGAATTTATCTTTTTCCCATTTATAATGTCAATTTTTGCTTACTTATTTTGAGGCCCTCATTGGTGCATACACCTTATATCTATTGTGGCTTCTCAGTGATTTGCCCCTTTTAATATTACTAAATCTCCTTTAAAAAAATCTTTGGAAATATTCTTTGTTTTGAAACCTGCTTTAGCCGGTGTTTAATATAGCCAGCCACTTTATTACTGGAATTAGCCTTCTTATGTTTACTAACTGCAAGTTATATCTTTTTCCGTCCATTTACTTTCAATCTGTGCCTTTTCGTTTAACGTAAGTCTCTTATAGACAGCATATAATTGAGTCTTGTCCTTTTATCTATTTTCTGCCTTTTAATTGGAATGTTTACTTATATTATTGGTACGGTTGGATTAAGGTCTACCTTTTTTTAGATTTTCTATTTTTCCCACTTGTTTTTTGTTTCTCTCTTGTACCTTTTGAAAGCTGTCTTCTTTTAGGTTAAGTGGAAAAATTAAGAGGAAAAATGGATGTTTACCTCACATATTCTCCACTTCTTCCAGAAATCTGAATTAACATTTGGTATCATTTCCCTTCACCCTGAAGAACCTATAGAGCAGGTTTTATGGTGACAGATTCTTAGTTTTGTTTTCTCCAAGTGCCTTTATTACACTCCTGTAGTATACAGAGATTTGGTTTGCCAGAGATTTAGACAGTTTATATGCAGACTTGGGACTCCCCTTCTGTGGCTCTTCATTCCTGCATCTCCCCTTATTTTCTGCCTACTGTGATCACCCTTGTGTGTCCTTTGAATGCCTCAACCAACAGATTTGCAGTTTTCTTTCTGAATTTCAACTGTCCAACTGGCATCAACTCAAAGAGAGCAGGAAGCTCACTCAGAAGAAGCCCGTCTTCTAAGTATCTTTTTCCCTACAGTATCTGCTTGCTTTTGGTTGCTTTGTAGTGTTTTCAGATGGATGTTTTTAATATATTGTCCGGAGTCTGTAATTCTTATCTGTCAGAGCATTGGTCAGACACAAGCTCCTCCACCATTAGCAGAAGTGGAACTCTTTTTGTTTGTTCTAATCTGGGTCATTTGAGACTAGTGGTGGTCTTTGCTATATGGAGTTAAAAACCAAGGCAGTTCACCAGACTTACAGTGCTGACATTTATTAAATGCTTGTTTTACATGCCAAGACCAAAAGTGACTTTCTTTCGTATTAATACCACAACTATGGTATGTTTTTTTTTTTTTCTCATTTTCACCAGTTAGGAAATTGGTACTGAGGACAGTTAGGTTCACAAAGTCTCATGGCTGACTGGTGGCACAGCTGGGGTTCATATCTTGTTTATTTTTTTTTTTATTCAAGAGCTCACCTTAACACTGCATAGTGCTACCGTATCCCTGTTTATTCTAGACTTACCTGTAACTATTGATATATCAATTCTACCTGAAAATTAGTAGAGTCAAAAGTATGACGCGAAAGATGAAATATACCATTGTAAAACATGTTGTGTTTTAGGAAATGGAAGTCCCAGTATTACCGAAAATCTCTCTACCCCTCACCAGTTCTTCACTGCCTACCTTCAATTTTAGTTCTTCTGTGATTACAACTTCCTCTCCATCACCCACTACTCCTTCACAATCATTAACAAACCAGGTAAAAGACCATTGTACCAATAGAGGTGATTTTTGTTTTTTCTCATTCTTTATTTTTAAAAAAGCTAATCTGTTTAAAGCAATGATTAATTTTCACTATGGAAATTAACTCAGTAAGATGAGAAAAATGGAAATAGTGTTTTGCTTTTTTTTTTAATGTACATCATGATGGGAGCATTCTTCAATTCTTATGAATGCATTAGAGGAAGAGTTGATTATTAGTTTGTTTCCAAACAATGTTGCCAGTTAAAATACTTTTTTTTTCAGTGAGAGTGGATTTATGTTTTTGTTTCTCAAGTAGTATTAACATTTTTAATATGCTCCTGAAATTTTTATGCTTTTTTCCCTTTTACATCTTCTGAACATATTTTTATAGATGTTATTTTTCCCCTTTAGATAAATATCTCCCTCTAAGGTAATGTATATTCCTCTTCCAAGAGGAAGCAAGATCTTATAGCAGTTAACTGTTAAGTAGTTTTCAGAAGTTAAAAAGTGATTTTTAAATTCAAAAGGGGAAAAAATTGCTTTTGGCTTCTTTGTAATAATTAATTTTGCTTAAGGTGTGTTTTTTTATTGTCAATTTCTTTTCTAAAAAACTATTTTTGTATCGTTTCTTTAATAATTTGGAAAACTAGGTACAAATGACCTCTCCAAACAGCACTGGCAGCCCCTTGTTTAGATTTTCATCTCCAATTGTAAAATCTACTGAGGCAGATGTACTACCTCCATCATCTGTAAGTAACAAGCAAGGAATATTTCATATTTATTGATTTCAAAGGCATACTGTATTTTTAAAATCAAATCTAAGATGCCATTGGTAGTAAGAAATACCACTTTTCTTACCAAAATAATTCCAATGTACAGAAAACTTTGAATGAACATCTATATATTTTTCACTATATATACATACATGCATATGCATTTTCTTATGTACCATTTGCAAGTTAGGATGCAGACATCTTGGTACCCTTAATACCTTTCCATGTATCCCCTAAGAAAAAGGATATTCCTTTGTATACCCACAATACAGTTATCCTATCCAAGAAATGTAACATGATATAATAGTAATAGTGTTCATGTTCAGATCTACCCATCAGCCCCAGACTGTCCTTTAATTGCTGTTTGTTTCTCTTGGTCCTGGATCCACTTACAATTAGGACTAATCTAAGTCATATTGAATTTAGTTAACATGTCTCTTGAATTGACTTTAATCTAGAAAAGTTGGAAGTTTTTATGTCCCACAATATGTATTTGTTTCTTCATAATTAAGAATAAATATTTTGAGTAAGAAAATACATAAGTTTAATGTTCAAATTGCCCTACCTGTATTTGGTATGTGTATCATTTTAACATGTTACTTTCTGTTTTTACTGTGTCCTTGTTTTCTGTCACAACTAGATGTTCCAGATCATTTTGTAACTTCCCTGCCACATGCGTGAAATGCACTTGTTGGCCATAAAATCTCATACTTTTTATTAGGAAATGGCATTTAGAAATCCAGAACTGGGCATTAGGAACACATTATTTTACGTATTGCTTTGAATGGAAAAATGCTTCAGAAGTTTAAAATGCTCTTGTTAAACTGTGACACACCATTCATTATAAGCACACCAATTTTAGAGATTTAAAATAGGAGAAACTGTGAATCTTAGAACATGTGGTATTCAGTATATTTTTTTGACTTGGCATAAAATAGAGCTTTATATTTGATAATCATTTGAAGCTAAATGGACACTGAAAAGACACCTTCTCTTTCTACAGATTGGATTTACATTTAGTGTGCCCGTGGCAAAGACAGCAGAACGTTGTGGCACTAGTAGTGCCTCAGAGCCACTTACAAGGAGTTCAGGTAAGGAACCATTTCCATAATATTTCACATAAAAATACATTAGATTGATATTTTAAATTATCTTTTACCTTTGGCAGTTCTTGTAAATGGTTTCATTTGAATACAGTTAGCTCTCTAAATGTGAATGGTTACAGTTTGGATGTGAAAGGGATGGTCACAATAACAAATTTATCCACTGTCTTTGTTTAGTCAAAATAAAGTGATAGTTTATTATAAATGAAATCTTCCCTTTCTTTTTAACATCTTTATTGGAGTATAATTGCTTTACAATGGTGTGTTAGTTTCTGCTGTACAACAAATTGAATCAGCTATACGTATACCTATATCCCCATATCCACTCCCTCTTGCATCTCCCTCCCACCCTCCCTACCCCACCCCTCTAGGTGGTCACAAAGCACCAAGCTGATCTCCCTGTGCTATGCGGCTGCTTCCCACTAGCTAGCTATTTTACATTTCGTAGTGTATATATGTCTGTGCCACACTCTCAGTTTGTCCCAGCTTACCCTTACCCTTCCCTGAGTCCTCAAGTCCATTCTCTCCTCTGTGTCTTTTTTCCTGATTCCAGCCCTGCCCCTAGGTTCTTCAAAACCCTTTTTTTTTTTTTTAAAGATTCCATATGTATGTGTTAGCATATGATATGTTTTTCTCTTTCTGACTTCACTCTGTGTGACAGACTCTAGGTCCATCCACCTCCAAATAACTCAATTTCGTTTATTTTTATGGTTGAGTAATATTCCATTGTATATGTCAGTGGACACTTAGTTGCTTCCATGTCCTGGCTATTGTAAATAGTGCTGCAGTGAACATTGTGGTACATGACGCTGTTTGAATTACGGTTTTCTCAGGGGATATGCCCAGTAGTGGGATTGCGGGGTCATATGGTAGTTCTATTTTTAGTTTTTAAAGGAACCTCCATACTGTTCTCCATAGTGGCTAGAGATTTACATTCCCACCAGCAGTGCAAGAGGGTTCTCTTTTCTCCACACAGTCTCCAACATTTATTGTTTGTAGGTTTTTTGATGATGGCCATTCTGACTGGTGTGAGGTG